CAGATTTTGGCTTAGAGCTTGGTTGAGTGGGGAGCTCAGAGCCCAGAGCACTGAGCACTATGGCGCCATCCAGTGATTGGAAATCAGCCATGGCCAAGATGCAGAATTGGCTGGTGGTGACTTTTGGTGGTTCTGGTGACCCAGAACAGCCTGATGCTGTGGAAATCTGCTACTTGACTAGTAAACAATTTGCATGTTTACACTTGAAGGGGCCACATGTAACACCAACGTGTGTGACAGCAACCAAAGGTTTTTTGTCCAGGTGACTATTTGCACGACCGCTTCTTCCCAAAAGGCCTGGACAACTTCAAGTCCCTCATGGAAGAGGTGAAGCAGATGGTGGAAAAGGCTGACCCCGGCTTTGTGTTCCAACGGCGAGCAGCGGCGTCCACAGTGCCTATGCTTCCCCTGGCCAATGAGACAGTGGAGGTCTTCCTCAACCCCTGGCACCTGTCATTTGATCCTGCCATGTCTTTGAAGGGGAAGTCAAAGATGGTGCATGTTCTTCGGTGTGTGAACGACTTCCTGGAGAAGCCCTACAACTCTGTGGAGAACCCCATCCACGTCTTTTTCCCCAAGTCCATGTGCTCTGAGGGTGATGGCCTGGAGCCCTTCAGCGTTGGCCATGGCATTGGTTTTGCAAAGAGTTTGGCAATCAAAGCCATCTTACTCGGTGTCTATGAGATCAAAAACGAACTCTCAGATCCAGAGTTCAGAGCCCTGATCCCGAGCATTAAGCCACTCTTTGGCTTTCGCTGCACATACAAGACGGCAGGGGATGAGCGCACTGATCGCTTCCAGTGCTTGCAGGACAAGTTTTCTGAAGCCGCACGCCCGCGCCCTGATTGCATTCAAGTGGCCAACCTTCTTCTTGCCCAAGCGCGGGCCGACGGCATGCAATGGGATGAAGCTTGCAAAGTCTTGATCCCAATGTTCAACCAGGGCAGCCAGAGTGAGGTGAAGCAGCTGACGGACATGGAGGTTTGCATTGTGAAGGTGCTGCCGACCCTGGATGAGGACACTTTCAGCGCCATTGACTACCATTGGCAGCAGACCTTGATTAAAAACAGCGCCCTCCCATACAAAGTGTTGGGCAATGACTTCTTTTTCAATGGCAGCAAGCCAAGGCAAGACAATGAGCTGTGGAGATGCATCCTGGCTCCAGACAACAGGAAGCGGCACTGGTTTGTGAAGCGCAAGATCCAATACTTCCAGTTCAGGGTGGCAGATGCCAAGCGCTTGAAGAAGAAGGTCAACCTCACTACAGCTTCCTCCAGCTTTCGGGACAAGCTTGAGAATGATGCAGCTTGGGCCGTGGCAGCTATCTTCAGCCATTTTCTCCAGCAGTGGGAGGGCCTACTCACGAAGAGTGGCATGATCAGGCTCCAGGAAAAGTTCTGCAGGGGCTACCTTGACACAGAGCTGCAGGAGAAATACCGGATGCTGAATCCCACCCTCGCTCCGTCTTCGTTCCGTTTTCTCACTGAAGTAGGCTACCAGGCTGGGTTGCTCAGGAAATTGATAATGCAATTTTTGTTTTAGGCATGATTAAATAAGGGCACTTGTTAGCTGAAAACTGTGCAGGGGGCCACCATTGACTCCAAGGAAGACATGGAAGCCAAGGCGAACAGTGACCTTGAGAAGGCAGAGCTTGCAAAGGCCAAAGCCAGGCTTGCCAAAGAACAATTTCTTTGGAAGTCTTTCCAAGGCAAGGTTGAGGATTTCAAGCTTCAAGGGCTGGGTCTGAAGCAAGAGCAGCTAGATCAGGAGAGGGCCAAGCAAAGGGCTGCCATTGAGAACTACGCTGACACCTTCTTCCCGCTCAGAGACCTTGCTGAGGTCTCACATGGTGGAACTTTTGCTGAGGCTAGCATCAACCGTTTCTGCAACGATCAAGGCTTGCCCATGGAACCTGTGTACAAAATCTACTGGTTGAATAGCTCTGTGCTGGGCTATGACAGTGTGGCTGGAGTGAAGGCTGCTGTGCAAGAGTATGCTTCACAAATTGCAGCCTGCCCTGAGACCTCCTGCATGCTGGTGGCTGCACCAACATGCGGCTCATGGGGGAATGAATACAACGAAGCAGCCATTGCGGAAGCCACAAAACAGATCTCCGACACCCTGCACGAACCAGAGTGCCGGCTCATTGTCCGTGAGGTGGTCCTCATCTTTGATCAGGGCACCATCCAGCAGCAATCACGTCGGCCAGCCATGCACAAGTTCTTCATGGCAGTCTCTGACCAAATGCACGCAGACAAGGTCCTGAGTCACTTCACCCAGAGCCAGCTGTGGGTACGACAGCTGGCTGTTGGGAAAGACAAAGTGCCAATGCAGCCAATCAAGAACATGGTGGATCCACGCCGGAATTTTGCTGCAGCAGGCGGGTCTACTGACATCAGCAAACAAGCTCGGCGCAAGCAGTGGCTGTCTGGATGGCCTGTGGTTGCTGCATTCCACGATGCACTTTGGCCAGGAATGCCAGTGACCCAGAGGTCTGTGGCAGCCTGGATTGATGTCTTTGCCTTTGACCACTCTTTGCCAGAGGCTTTGATGCGCAGGGCAGACACCAGTGGCACACCGCACCAGCTCTATGTGGGGCTCCTTTGGGCAGAGATGAACAGCAGGGACAGCACTGCAGTGGACCAGCCAAATCGAAAGCAGAAGGAGCATGCCAAGATTGCCAAATGGCTCCGTAACCAAATTTGCCGGAAGCTCCACTTGGTTTGCACGGAAAATGTCTTGAAGATTGAGGGTTGGGTTCCCGTGTCCACCTACCAGGAGTCACGCACCTCACCAACCTTCTCTGAGAGTGACTTCACTATGACATACCCCGCAGCTTCCAACTCTTTGCCCTTGCGAGACACTGCATTGGACCTCCTTGAGAGCAAGATTCAGAGCCCAGAGGCACGAGCAGAGTGGGATGCAGCGGTGGCTGAGCACAACGCAGAGTGGAACCCATCAGGCGTTCCGCACCGCTCCGATGTGAAGCGCCCAGCTGAATCAGGTGCAGAAGGCGCCACCCCTGCCAAGAAAGCCAAAGTTCTTGAAGCTGAGAAGGATGGGCCTCAAACAGTGGAGGAGCTTGCGTCCCAACATGGAAAACTGGTGGAGGTCCCAGTGGGCTCAGCCAAGTTGTTCTTTGACAAGAATGGCGCTGTGTGGGCTTTGGCTTCAGATGCTGAGTGTGAACTCAACGATGATGGCCCGCCGCTTGCTTTGGTTTTTGGCACCTTCAAGTTGGGAGAGGACAGCTGTGACTTTGTGTTTGTTTTGCTGCTGCTGTGTTAACTGAGTCTGAATAATCTGAAGCTGTTTCACTGGCAGGAGGCCACAGCAGCTGCAAGCAAGTCCAAAGTCTTCCCCATGGTCTTCAAGAATGACTTGGATGTCGCTTGCTTTACCACTGACAGCAAAGGACCTGAAAAGCGCAAGGCCCTTCGCAGCTGGCTGCATGGCTTGGAAGCTGATGGGAAAGACCTTGCCACCATTGACTTTGCGTGCCACACCATCACACCGAAGACTGACAAGGACACAAACGGTCTAAAACCGACAACTTTAAACGGTCTAAAACCGACAACTTAAAACGGCCTAAAACCGACAACTTTAAACGGTCTAAAACCGACAACTTTTTTTAATCGCTATAGCTTCAGTCTTTTTTTGCCCGTGCACTGAGGACCAAGCTGGTGACACAACTGGCCGTGTCTACGATGTTTCCAGCACTGAGAGCTGCAATTTTGTGCCAGCCAACACCCCCCGCAAGATTGGAGGCAAGGCCCCTCCAGATTGGGATGATGCTGGGAGCTTCTGCGTCATGGGCCAGCTGGACAAATCGGATCCCGAAACCAAGAAGCATCAGCTGGGGAATTTGGAGCTGGTGGACCGCTGGCAACTTTCTGATACTGAGCAGGGTGTGCAGTGTGTGCCTGTGAAGCCAGGGCTGTTTCCAAGCCAGCCACTTTCCTTGAAGAAGGGTGTTCTGGCCCGGCTGGCGTAGGGCCAAATGTTTAGTGATCTATGGGCAGCAATGCCGTTTTTTGAGAACCATTGCAGGTTTGAAGGAACAAGCTTGCAAGTGATTCCCTTTTTCTTGCTCACTGCTCACTTTCATTCTGAAGTAGCTGAAAGTAACTGCCAGTGTGCTCTACTTTGTTTGGCTCTCAGCTGTCTCTGATTGAGCTGAGCACAGAGTGCAGAGCCCTGAGTCTAAATCCTTAGAGTCACCTGCTTTGCCATGGCCTACTCTGATTCAGAATGTGGAGATTGGATGGCTGATCTTGATGGAGTTGCGCCTGCTGCTCCCCCTCCTGCTGCTCGCCATCCTCCTCCTCCCACTGCTGTGTTTTCTGTGGGAGCTAGTGCGTCTAACACTGGTGCGAAGACATCCAGCGCTTGGCGCTCATGGGCGTGCCCGGTGCCTGGTTCATCTTCTGGCGGCCGACACGGAGACCAAGAAACTGCACCGAAGAAGCCAAGCAAGCATGAGATGAAAATCGAACATGACAAGCGCTCTGCAGCAGCCACAGCAGCTGCCAAAAAGGCAGCGGAAGCTGCAGAAGCATCAGTGAGATTGGCAACCCTTGCTGCCAAGCAGATCGCCCAGTCTGTTGCGATTCCTCAGAACCAACGCAAAAGGTTGAAGACAGAACTGCCGCTTGCAAAGCCTGACAATGAGAAAGGTGAGGCAGCTGCTGCTGTTGCACCTCAATCTCAGGAGGAGCCTGCTCAAGAGCCTGACGATGCTGCGCCAATGCCTGTGCCTGTGCAGACAGGAGGCTCATCCTGCAAGAAAGAATGGGGCAGCGCAGGCACTTTTGCTGGGCGTCGCCCCCCAAAGGGTGAAGACAAGACTGCGCAGTTCAACTTGAAGAAGAAGCTGTGGCAAGAGACCCGGAAAAGTTTGCAGGAAAAGTTTCCCGGTCGCGCGCAAGGCCTGATGAAGACTACGTCCCAAGAGGCCTACTACAAGTTCATTGGTGACCACCTCAAGGCATCACTAAAGAAGAAGAAGAAGAAGAGCACACATGAGGATGTGTGCGACGCAATCCGGAAAGGCTCAAAGAAGTGGAAGGAACACAAGGAGAGGGAGCTCAATCAGTGATAGCACCTGCCGGGGTTTCATGCTCCACAAAGAATAGACTTTGTGGAAAGGGGTAGTGGCTGCATTGAGTTTTGTGGGAAGAACGCTGAAAAGAGCGCTCAGTGCTTGCGTAGTTTGTTGTATGCGCACATGTTTGGTGTAACTAGCGCGTCGGTTTGTTTCTCTCAGTTAGGTGCACATTTTTGGTCCAACTAGCAGTTCGATTTGTTTCTCTGTGATTCTGTTGTGCGCCCGCCGTCTTGACAGTGCTCAAAGAAGCAACGCTCAGTGTCCATGCCATCTTGGCTGCAGCCGCCGCCAGGCCCGTCTAAGACTGCAAACGCAGCTTCTTGGTTGGCGCCTTCACCTGGTGGATTGCACAGCAATGGGTGCTCCCAGTTGCAGACATTGAATCCAAAGTGTGAATCTGATGCTTTTCAGAAACAAAAGCGGAGAGTGCAATGGCTAAACCCAAGCCCTTGTGGAGAGAAATTGTTTAAGCCTTTCACAGGGGAAAGGCAGGAGCCAAAGCCAGAAGTTGAGCTGACTTTGGGGATGGCTATCCTTTGCAAGCCTTTGTCAGGCCAGCAGATCACCCAGAATGGTGATGCCCAAGCTGCTATCCACAAGATCTTTGCAAGACCATGCCCGAATTCCAAGAGTGCGTCGGGCGTTTGTGTATCTTGTGAGACTGGCTTTCGTTTAGAAGAGGTGGCCCAATTTCGCAATCTTTTTCAGCACATGAATTTAGAAGAGCGATCGAATTTGCTGAACACTTGCTACACCACAGGCAAGGAATCTGACAGTACGAGAGTTCAGTGGAAGCTTTTGGGCAAGCGCATTTGCTTGAAGAGGCTTTGTGAGGTATTAGGCTGCAGCGCCCGAACTTTTGTGAAAGCTGTGCATGGAGAAGTGGACATGAGATTCAAAAATGGCAGGCAATGTGGTGAAGCACGAATTTCTGTAGACCAATACTTCTTTGAGCTTTACAATTCAGCAGCTGAGTTCCTACCAGAAGACCCGGCTTGCAAAGTGGAGGATGTGGACAATTCGATCAGCGCAGACTCAACTTCCGCAAGGCTAGGCAGTGACCACCACCACACTAGCCCAGCATTGCACTCAATGCTGCCTCTGTTTGGCTGGGACCCAGCGCAAACATATCTTCAGGATGCCTCAGCAATGACATTGGATGATGTTAACCTCCCCCGGCGGTATGTCCAACATCAGAAGCCCATTGATCTGTGGTGGCAGTATTTAGCTTGGGTTGTGGTCCGGTGCCCCGGGAAAGCTTCTTCCTGGACGACTTTTTGGAAGCGGTGGCATGAGCGAGCCCTGGTTGAGTTTCAATTTGTTTGTACTGAATTGGTTTATGTTTTGCTCTTGCCTGCTGCTGAATTGTTTAGCTGCGTTGCATTTTCAATCATTGTTGCCCAGTAAGGATGGAGACATGTCATTGGACTGCGCAAGCCGTCCCAGCATAGCCAGTGCAATGTGTGCTTTGAGCATTCCCAGTTCATCCACTCCAGTGGGGGAACCCCCTTGCAAAAGCGGCAGCGTGCAGAAGCTTGGCAGCACCACCTGCGAGAGCAGTATCACGACAGGCTGATCTACTGGCATTTACGGTGGCAGAGTCGGAGCCCAGAGTCCAGAGTTCTGACCGTGATCATCGATGGGATGGACAAGAGTAAAGGGATTTGGCCGCAATACAGCTTCCAACCCGCGAAGATTCTTGAGAAGTTCAACCGGCCAAAACTCACTGTTCACCTGGCAATGGCTCATGGCTACTGTTGTGATTTTTATTTGGCGGATGATGAGAACTTCTTTCATGGGGCCTCCTTCTTTTGTGAAATCTTGACCCGCACACTGGCACGAGTTCGGCGCATTTGCGCTGCAAAAGGGCAGAGGATGCCAGAGCATTTGGTTGTGCAATCGGACAACACAACATCTCAGGCTAAGAATGCCGAGGTCTTCAAATACCTTGCTGTCTTGGTCCGCAAGTACAAGTTCCATTCAGCTGTCCTCAACTTTTTGCGGGTGGGGCATACACACGAGGACATTGACTTCATGTTTAGCTTGGTCCTTTCCCTGGTTGTGCGGAAGGTGCGCATCAAGGTGCCAGATGACCTTCGAGTGGCCATCCTGAAGCTTGGCGTTGACCAGTGAGCAATGACATGTTGTGTCTAGTTAGCTTCTTTTCGTATAAATGTTTCAGTGTTGGCTCTTTGTGCGCAACCCAGGAGTGGTATGTCATCAGTCGTCTCCGGCAAGGGCTATGAGCTGACTTGTGAGTTGTTGAGCCATGTTCGCAATTTCAAGGACTGGATGGACCCCATGTGCCTCAACCCATACAATTGCTTTCTGCCACGCAAGGGCATTGAAGTTCCACATTCTTTCACTTTCAAATTGCGGATGGACCTTTCCTTTGGAGAGCGCGAGGCGCTGCAGCGCAGCCCACCAAGATTCCGGCAGGGGCACCCACATGATGTCTTCGTTGTTGTGAAGCACTACATGTCCAGCAAAGAACCAAATGGCCCACCTGTTTTGCTGGTGCCGACAAGCAGGTTCCTCCTCATCCAAAGCCCCTCTCCAACAGGGAGCTGCTACAGCAACAGCCCCATGACAGAAGATCGGCAGAAGGAGTTGGAAAATTTTGCAAATTCCTTAGAGCACCTGTCGCAAGAGTGGAGGCCAGAACACTCTCTTTTTCGCGCTGCAAGAGAGCTGCGCTTTTTAGCCCGTGGGCGTGACTCTGTTCCATCAGAAGATGGGTTCTTGGAAAGTGCTGCAGCTGAGAGAGAGCTGCCGCTGCCAAGCACACGCAACCCATACTTTAACCATTTGCCAAATGTGTCATGGCAAATGCTAGTAAAATTCAGCCGCGTATAGCAGAGTGCTGAGTGCGGAGAGCCGCAGGTAGCAGAGTGCTGAGTGCGGAGCGCAGAAGGGTGAAAAGGTCTGACAGTGAAGTCATGCCTAGGAAAGTTGCAGGGGTGAGTTGGATTGAAGTTTCAACTTCCCAGGTTTAAAGTGCTTGTTTAGTTTCGGTTCAAGCAGAGTCTGGAGTGCAGAGACTGAGCTCTGACCTGGACATGGCTGCCTTGGTGCTTTTTGGCTGCACAGTGGCCTCTGTGTTGAGTGACCCAACGTTCAATGGCTTGCCGCGAGATTTGAAGGTAGTCGAAATCTTCTCCGGTGTGGGAAGTGTGGCAGCAGCAGCGACTGCATCAGGTCTTTCTTCCCAACCCTTCGACAAGTTCAGAATTGAGGGCCGCACCAACATTCCAGGGCCCAGCTGCGAAGACTTGACTGTGAAGGCTGGGTTTGTGAATGCGGTGAAGCTAGTCATGCAGCTGGCACTTGGAGGGTTGCTTTGGCTTGCGCCTGTTTGCTCATCATGGGTGGGCCTCAACATCAGCCGGACCTTGCGGTCACACAAGAACAACTTCCAAGGTGACACAACGTACCCAAAAGTTGCAGAGGGCAATCTGCAAGCAAAGGCGTGCGCCTTCTTCATGCAGCTGGCACAGTTTCGAGGCATTGAGGTCATCCTTGAGAACCCACCTAGCAGCACTATCTTCAACTTCCCCGTGCTCCGGGCAGCTATTTCCAGCATGAAGCTGGTGAGCTGTGTGACCCATCGCTGCGCTTTTGATGTGTCTGCTGCAAAAGGGAAAAGGCTGTGGAAGAAGTACAAATTCGTGGGGCCAGCTGCATGGGTTCAGAAGCTGGCCAAGCCTTGCCCTTGCCAAGGGAAAAACCACATCTACCTGACTGAACGTTGGACTGATTGCCACGGCAAGAACCGATTCAAAGGCTTGAAGACCCTGCTTGACAAGTCTGCGGCGTACCCAGCAGCAATGGGAACTGCAGCAGTCAAGGCTTGGCTCAGCAACACCGCTGAAAAGCACAGAGCCCCAGACTCAGAGACCAGAGGCCAGAAGCGGAAAGCTGTATGGTCCACCAATTCTTGGCTGCAGCCGTCAGTGAGTGGAGCTGTAGATTCCAGGCCATCTTCCAAGCCGCACTGGTGTTTGCCACCGGCTGGCAAGTAACATATCAGAGGCACTTGTTAATTAGCAGAAAAAGCCACGTCAATTCGCAGCACCCTGTACCATACTGTTTACACATTTCAGACCCAGACCTGACCTGATGTTGCCAGGTTCCCGGGCTATGCTCCGACTCCTGGGCTTATGCACTCTGCGGCTGCCCAGACCTCAAGTGACAGCTGTTGGTTGACTGTTGGCTTTGGTGGAAAAGGTTGTCAGAGCTTAAAAGTTATCAGAATTGAATTGTTCAACACTGCATTGCACTACACCGATTTCGTGGATAGAAGCCTTGATAGCTCAAACAAGTCATGGCGGACTGCAACCACCTAATGACCAAGATTTGGTTGAGCGATGTGTTCATGGATGAGCCACCAAACCCTGGCAGCGCTGAACCAAAGCCGCTACCTGGTGGATAACCAAAGGTTGCGCAGTTCGATTGTTCTAAACTAAACGATTGGTTTCTGTAGCCATGCCACTTGTGCAGAGGTTTAAACCTGGCACATGGGAGGCAAACTTTGCAGAATGGGTGTGATCAAAACAGTGGAAACAGAACCCGACTTTCTGCTTTCACAATGAGCACCTCTACACACTACTCGATGCCATGGCCGAGACGGATACAGAGACCAATGAGTGGATGAGGATCTGGGGCTGCCTTCTAGATGTGAAGGAAAATGGCCTCCGCACAGTCCTTGTCAGTAGGTGAGCTGAGCCCAAGGCCCAAGGCAATACATAGTGCTGTTTGTGTGCCCGAGTCCAGAGTTCAGAGTTCAGAATGGGGTCCTCTGACTCTCGACAACCAAGCTGGCCAAATACAGCCAAAAAAGAAACTAAGAGTTTTGTTGCAGCCGCTGACTCTGTCAACCATCTGCCTTTGGAAGCTGAGGTCTGGGCTGCATAGATGATGCTGGCCGCTGCACTGCCCAGCTGCATTGTGACACCCTTCATCTTGTGCGCTTGCTTTCGCCCCCCAAGATAACAGGCTTTTTGCAAATGAACCCCCAGGAAAAATGTTTTATATTTTCCTGTGGGCTGCACTTGCAGAAAACTGCGGCTTTCAAAAAACAAGCACACAAGACTAAAGGGTGCCATAACTTTTCTGAATTTTAAAGCAATGTAACTAGAAACACATGTGCAAAACAAAGACCAAAATCCAAACTACCAGAATCAAAAACCAAACTACCACAATCAAAAACCATAGGTTATGTTCCAAGCGCTCATCGGTGAAAGCGGGCCTCTCCCATGCGGCGCTCTTCCCAGCGTAAAGAACATTCCAGAAAGCGGCGCCAAAAAGATCTTTCAAGCCTTGGATGAAGACCGCAAACAAGTCGAAAAGAGAAAGCCTGAGAGAAAGAAGAAAGAAGAAGAAAGCAAAGAGCTTGAACCGAAGAGTCCTGAAGAGTTGGGACCTCAATGCCCAAACAAACATCAAGACTGCTACCGTTTCAGCTTTTTTGTTCCCTTCTCTCAGTTATTCATTTATGAACACTCCAAGCAACAAAAGTATGTCAGAGGGAACAACTTGTGAGACCATACACGTGAGTTGGAACTCTAAGAAACGAAAGATTGCTGAGCTAGCGTTTCAAGACCATGCGACCTCACTCTCTTTCCGCCTGCTCCCCCTTCCAAATATCGCCACGGCTCATCCACAGCCGCAGCCTGTTGCTCCGCCCAGGGAAGCGAACCTCAAGCTCCAGGCTGCCTTGGAGCGTGCGACAAAGGCCCGGAAGTTAAGCATCCAGCTCAAAGGTGTCGACTATGCAAAGGAGCTGTCAGATCAAATGTTGAAGAACGCTGCTTCCATGGAAGCTTTGTACATGGAGTTGAATGGTATTTTGACCAGCTCACCCGTTGATCGCAAGAAGATGAAACCTGTTCTAGCACAGCTGGAACAAAAAATATCTGGTTTGAGAAGGCAGAAGCGTCAGCGGCTGGGATCCTGGGTGACAAAAAAGGAGGCCCCGAAAGAGTGCTGACGAGAAGTCAGCCAAAGTTGCGAAGAAGTGAGCAATAATAGCACACTTCTGTGGGGAGTGCACGCGCACTGCCGCGTGTTTTGGGGGGCTTTGAGCTGACTGTAGTCAGTGCAGTAAGTGCCAAAGTTC